TAATTATTTTTTATAATCAAAATTAATATATATTTTTTAAGATATATAATAATTATCTTTTAAAAATAAAATTAACATTAAAATAAATATATAAAATGGTATCTCTTAAAATAATATTTAATTAAATTTAAACAATTAAATAAAAAATTAAGTTTTTTAAAATAAAGTAGAGGAATAAGATTAATTTTCCTTTACCAACAAAATGATAAGCGGGCCTGAATAAATTGGACAATGATCCTAACTAAACAGTCTGCCAGGCCCAAACTCAAACAATCAAGTTTCTTCCTATGCTAGGCCCAAGTTTCTTCCTATGCTAGGCCCAAGTTCTTTTTGTAGTTTAGTTTGCATTTATTAGTTATTTTTAAAGTTATTATTTACCCCAAAAAAATAATTTTTGACTTAATATTTAATCAAGTGTAAATTAAAGATAAATTAACTTCTAAAATTAATATATATTAACTTGATTAAACTCTTATTATTAGATGAGTAGCTACAACATCGACCCACCTAAGAGGTCTGTTTTTTTAATATTAATCTTGCTAGGTAATGCCAATTTGTTCTTGTAATACAAAGAACATAAAGAAAATGGAAAATGTATTAAGACGAAAATTCATAACAATCTCACATTGAACATCAGAAGAATGAGACATTGCAAGATTGATTTACTCCATTGATGGATTCATATAACTCCTTGTACAAGGTTTACTTACAAACCCTACCCAGAGGCCTTAATGAAAGCTATTGAATTTGATTTGAGAATGCAAACAGCAGAGTAGGATGCTTGTGGAGAAGAAAGGTTAACTCAAGTGCACCGGACCATAGGCTCAATAGTATGTCTTGCTGGTGGACCAAACAAACTCAGTACTACCTGCAGATTAGGAGCCAAAGATATGTGTTAAGTATTGACCCATAATCCAGTGGATATGTTTTTCTCCAGGAGCAAACTATAAGAAACATGGCAGCATGGGTTAATGATTCTCATCAACGTAGATCAGGCCATTCGAGTTAAATATGATATTGTTTTTAACTTTTTTGGTACATTAAATTAAAGAGTTAACTATTTGACAACACAGAGATTTGAACCTTTAACCTTGATTTTAAATTAAAGTTTTTAAGTTAGTGAGCATCAATTTGGCCAAGTTCTTGTTGGTAAAATATGATATCGTTGATGAGGGTAAATAGCGAGTTTTAACCAACTTACCGGTAAAAACACGAGCCCATGCAGGAAACCAACCAGAACCAATGCCAGGTACATCTGAAAGTAATAAACCTGCAAGACAAGAAGTTTGCATTTACTTTTGCAAATCCGGAAAAATGTTATTGAATGGTGGGAGGAGGGAGGGAGGGAAAGTTCTGAGACCACAAAGATTTCTGATCTTGAAAAGAAAAGCACGATTACTCCAACGAGCTTTGTGAGAGTGATTCCACTGGCCAAACAAGACAAGATTTAAAAAATGTCAGTAACCTGTTAGTGAAGTCCAACACACCAGTGCTTTGGATCAAGTTAGAACTACAGATGATGAAAACAGGGGCCCAAAGATACCATGCAGATAACTTAAATAAGTAAATATGAAGAACGATCAAATAGCTCCTGGAAAAAGGCTTGCCTCACATCTCAAATCCTTTCTTGCAGAACAAATATGTTTGTAACGACAAATTACAGTTTACAATATGCTGGAAGGTTAAGATCTTAAAGAGTTCAATTTCACTAAACTCTAACAAAGCTATGATTTTAAAGTTAGAGTTAGTGTTTTGCAATCTAGACTACAAAAGAGGAACCATTGGATTGAGGGACAGCCCCCAATATCGGGGGCCTGTCCCCACCAATAGTTTAAGTTGTGCAGTCTTGTGTAGTCCGGACTGCACAACACTTTTTTTTTGTTAAAGTTATTGCTTGCATTGGCATATTCAAAGCCTACCATGTATTATTGACCAAAAAATATTAAAGACTGGTACATTCAAATAGAGGAAAAAACAAGAACATAATCAACCTGAAAACAGATGCTCCCATGGTACTTAGAGCTGCCTTCATGCGTTGGTCCCTATCCCCATTGCTTACCTGTATAGGGGTAGAATAAGGCTCCATTGTGCGATTAAATTATAAAAAATATGCAAAACGAAAACTCAATTCTGATTGGAGGATTTTCAAAAAGACCAAATATTATATTTAAAGGTTAAGATTTATAGATTAATAAGGGTAAGTTAAATTTGCCAACAATTGAGGAGCAGAACAACAATGCATGTATGTAATTTCTTTTGTAATTTATAAGGCAGAGATAATAGCAATAGAGACTTCAAAAAGTAAATGAATATATGGGATCCCACCACTATCACAATAATGTTTAGATAAAGAGTCTAAAAATAATCTTGCAACAAGGGTTAATACTGACCAAGAAGGCATGTGCTATATGCACACAAAACTCAACAGCAATCCCTATTGACATTACAAGGTTCACAACTGAGACTGCATTTAACTGAATACCCAGAATTGCCATTACACCCTGCAGAAAAAATGACTAAATAAGTTCTCGTCCTACAAAGAAAAGTATAATTGAGATTTGAGAATTAGTTAAGGGAAGCTTTTTGTTGAAAGAAGAGACCATACGATAACATAGTATTTTATATAATTATAATGGCAGAGGACGTACCATGAGGTCAGCAACAATCATGACCAGTACAAGGACTATGATGACAGAAATCCACACACTGCGGTAAAGCAACATTGGAAGGAAAGCCAGCGAAAAGGAATCAGACAGAAAAAAATGACTAGCAGACAAAAAATGCTGAATAAGGACCAGAGAGCAATTTGAACCTGGATGTAATGACAAGACAGACAACAAAAATAGCACCTGCAATATTATCAAGGGTGTTATTCAGTGAATGCTTAGATAGACACAAATTTGATAATTGAAATGTGCACAAATGCCATTACAAACAAAATAAACTGAACTATAATCTAATTCTCCTTCCCTCTCCAAATAATTGTTGCTTTCTAACTTTTTCTATAGGCTAACAATTTCCTATATTGCCCTTAAGAGATTAGAATGAAGAGGAGATTATGCTGATAAGGTAGAAAATTAAACTTAAGCGATAATAATAGGGTTAAAGTGAGAATAAAATATTTGCCCACCTTGGAAATTGACAAAACAACAATTAATTTGGAACAAAACAAATTTTCAATCGACTATTATTTTGGAATGGAGGGTGTTATGTATGGCACTTGTACACAGGATAATAACAATTTGAGGGGAACAAGAAATATGAAAAGGTCAGTCTTGACCCAGAAAAATGATATACATTTATGCATGGGAGAGTATAAAATCTGTCTATAAAACAGCATTGGCTTTATTGAATGAACAAAAGTCATTAGGGTCTTGTGGAATACCGACCAATTGCTACAGCTATGTTGATCAAAGCCACCCGCCAAATATCCAGATATTGCTCAAAGAAAATATAGAACACTGAATATGGAAAGACGTTCATCTGCATCAAATAAGTAAATTTCAGTACACGATGCTGATTGGCATTGGATTAGAATATTGCCAAAGAAATTATCAGAGACCAACAGGAAAGACAGCAAACAAATGATTGAGCAACATGAGAAAGATTTTATTACAATAGGGATGACTATAATAAGATAATAGATCTATATTTCAAACTGATTATTTTCTCTTTCTAAAAAATGAGCACTGATGTTTATTAATCAAGATTATCCAGTTGAAAACCACATCAATGAGAGGACAAGTTACTGATTGCCTTTATTTTCAGTCACAAAGCTCATGTCAGAACCAATTTCACAAGAAAATGGCTGGAGTACTTACGGAGGAAATTTTCCATCCTAGATGACTAGATCAACAAACCCACCCCCCCCCCCCCACAAAAAAAAAAAAAAAAAAAAAAAAACTGCCAACATAAGTAGAAAACGTTATAGTTGAGACCAAGACATGAAAAGCATTTCTGCCTAAGAAACAGTTCCATTCTAGGCACAAGCATCCTGAAACCAAAACCAAACACAGTTTACAAAGTCAAGTAAGAAACCTTTAAAGCATCAGAAACTCTTGAGCTGAATTCCCGTGCAGCTCGCATTGAATTGACATAATCACCCTAAAGAAAAGTCATATCAAGAATCAAATTTAAGTTTAAAAAATATATAGAAAAAGACAATACTGATAGTATATTGGTGTCAGTTAACTAAAGACTTTGCTATGGCCAAAAAAAATACTAAAAACTAGAACTTTTCCATACTTGTTTGTTAAGTGGTGTATGATATGTACGAAACTCTGATGCCCGTATAATACCACTTTCAAAACCTGAAAACAGGGGTTAAGGCTAATAAATATGTTACTCAGTCTACTAAAACCATGGCCTGACAGCCTTTATTATCCCCCACAGGACAATAAAACAGTGATTAATATATTAGGAATTCTCAATCTAACCATTGAGATCCACACTGGTGGTGTAAGCCCCATGACCGCCTTTAGCACAATCATTGGATGGCAGGGCATCAAGGAACCACGGAAGCTTCTCCCTGAATTGCTCTGTTGATGGACGATCATTAATCAAATCCGAGTGACGGAAACACTGGAACCAAGTTAAAATGTTAGTTCTTGATTCTCTTTTCCTTCTAATATTTTGATGCACTCTAACATTGACCTAATGATAACCACTCAAATGTGTTACAACACTCAGTAGAGTGCAAATCAAATACCGACAGCATTTCAACTTTGTGTATTGGATTCCTAACCATATTGAATAGAGAGAGAAAGAGGGAAATCACCGTTGTACAGTCTTTGCAAACTCCACCAAAGTCGCAAGAACCTTCATCAGGTGAACAGCAAGGTGGCTGGGAGAAAAAGTAATTTCTGCTTCAGTAATCTAGTAATAACAATCTAAACAATTTCACAAGTCTGGACAAAAATTTATAAACACCATGCTGAAAGTGCAAAGCAATACAATCATCGAACAGATGTGTCATGTATACATATTTGGAATTCATAGAGAAAAAATGCTTTAAAATGTTATAGCAGTTAGACAAAAATCTAAAATACTGATTTATCTTTCCAGCTAATGAAAAAAGAAGATTCCAAATGAATCTCATTGTGAAAATTTTAGGCACCAACCTGATCATCAGGTGGACAATAAGTACCATTAGTAAACTTCCTACAGCAACCAAATGCTTCTGGTGATATCCATACAAGAAAGTCATCAAGCCATGAGGCAGCTGGTTTAGCAATGTAGGTTGATTCTGGAATCACTGATGCTCTTGATATCTTGCATGATAAAAAATGAACATATATTTTAAAATAGTAGATATTCACATAATAGAGAAAGAGAAAACGTAGCAGATATAAGAGAGAACCTTTCACTGCTTATAAGGTGAGAAGAAAATTTCAATAATTTCATCTTACTAATGTTTCACAAGCATTTAGCCAAAAAAGAAGAAGAAACATGTTTCAGAAGTGTAGGGATTAAAAGTGCCAAACTTTTCTGGCAAAGGATTAAGGGTCCCCATTAAGCATAGAAGTAGTACAACATGTTTACTAAGGTCATGCAGACACTTTCTGAAAACAAATATTTTTTAAAAAATGTAAAATTCAATATAAAACCAGAACCATAAAGCCTAACACATGATATTTTATAGAAAATTCTTAACAAAGATATGAATGTACTAGGACATTTTGGTATTTAACAGACAGTGAAATGAAAACCACTTGACCGTGCATTACCTCATTCAAAAGGGAGTTAGAATCACAGTGGTTGATGGAGCATAACTTGTTTGTATCGCTTGACTCCTGGCTGTATTAGAAAAATATTCAACCACAGACCTCAGAGTCAGACAAAAATAAGAGTAAACACAACCATAGAGACAGTAAATTGAACAAATCACAAAATCAGTTATACAGCTTGAATTTCAAGAACAGATCATTTCATATACTATTTTTCCATGAATAAGGAGATTCCTTCAGGCAATAATGGGACATGGTTACTGAAAACTAGAACTTTCTTCACCTCCTGCTTAAAGGACAGTTTTATGGCAATAAAGGTTGACATTCTGCATATTAAGGTGGTCTTGAGGAAAAGAAAATTTGTTATGGAGGGTAGGTAGGATCTTAAATTAAATGTTTAAACTCAGTTTTCTACTCCAACAATACAAGATTTTTATGGATTATTTTCTGATTTCTCAATGCATTTAGGCCTTTGCATTAAATATATTTGCTTCATTCCTAGCTGATATCTTTTAGACCCATGCTCATTCATGACACCATATAGGACCAAATAAGGGTTTAAATTTCACTCTTTCCAGAATTCTACTGAATTCTTAATTGCTGTATCCCTTATAGATAAAATTGCAACTCTATGTACCAAAAATAAAACATTGCAGCTTTTGGAGCAGTTTAGGTGATCTTAGACAATAACTTGTAGTGAAGGGGAAAAAGCAGAAAATAAATGATGGAGTGAAACATTCAGACTAATTACCTGTAGTTGTAATCTCTAACAACAAAATATAATGGTGGTCCAACTCTGAGATATTCTGAAACATTATTGAAATAACCCTGATGCAAATAAAAGTTGGACATTAGAAAGATTGAAAAGAAACATCACATGCACACAACTTTTGACAAGACAAAAGAAATGAAAATCAAGGACTTAAACCTGAAGATATGAGTCTCGTGGAAGAACAATCTGTTGCTCCAAACCAGTTTCTATCCTCATAGAGAGGGCCTAATAAGGACCAAAAACAGATTAGAAACCATAAATATATAATGACAATTCACAAAAACCATTAGCAACTTACAATGCTTGCCAGAGCAAAAGCAGCAAAGACAGCGATTACAAGCATTTTCACTCCCCAAAGTCCCAGAAGAGGTGCATGAATATCCTACACTCAAAAAGAAAATTTCAAATTTATTCTGAGGAAAAATAAATTATGATTCTTTTGAACAATCAGAGTGCCTACATCTTAAGATAGAATATTGCCTTGATTTCCTACTGATGAAGTGTGAATTTAACAGAGAATACAGAAACATAGTACCTGAATCCTAAGACAAAATTTTCATTTAAACATAAAATTCCAAAAACTTACTTGCATGTATCTAGCCAGCAATCCAGGGCTTCTCTGATGGATACCTACAACCAATGAAAAATTTATCAGCACCAATATCCACTTATAAAAGGGAAGGGCGTTTATGTAGAACTTATAAGTTATAACCCTATACCAGATAATTAGAGCAAATAATACATTACAATTAATCATAAACAACCTTCACCAGCATCTCCATCGGAGGAAGGAACTTTTATGCAAGGAAAACAGTCAATCCTGTTGTCCTCAGCTCTTAAGCAGTCAAAAACCATCAGTGAAACAAAAGCAGTAATTTGCAGGAGGAAGTCCAGTAGAACAGCCAAAGCTACAAAAAAAAGGGGGGAGGGGGGGGGGGGGGGGGGAAAAAAATTAAAGAAAAAATGGAAAAAAATTAAATGCACAGGAGACAAGGAAATAGAAGAAAAAATACAAAACCTGCAAACATGGAGAACACCCGGCAAGCAGGCATAGGAATGAAACTTCCGACTGCAAATGCCAGAATCTCAGATAAACTAGCAAGTGTAATGGATGGACCAACTTCCATCAGTGCATTGCTGATTCGTTCCTCCAGAGGAAGATGAAATGATTGCCTTTTTACAGCATGGACCAAAATACACATGTTATCCACTCCAACCTGATTGAATTTGATCAAATAGGGAAAAGCTCAAATTAAAACCCTCATACATTGAAAAATGAAATAATTGAATAAATGAAGAGGGGAATTGCACGATGACAAGTCTGTAGTAACAAATATGTCCATATTAAAGCATAATTTAACATATGAGTGAATGGGCACACTTATTAGGACTGAATGGGAACTGTATTTACAGCATCAACACTCTTTAAAGACTGTTCTAATTTGTTGGAAGTGTATCTACTTCCTGGCCCCTGGCTTTGCACAAGCACTCTAAGTAGCAAACTAACAAGTTGCAAGGAAGATCATGATATGTCAGCATTTTTTGTTTATCAGATCATAAATCCATGATCGTCTGTGATAATTTGGATATTTTTCAGTTTGATTGACAGAATAATTGTTTGTGCAGGCATGCAAGTCTTGAAATGTGTTTTCCTTATTAGAACCACCATAACTAGAGACTGCAAAACTTCTCAGGCATGTTATTCAGACAATTGAACAAAGCAAAAAAAATAACTATAAGTCGACAACAACAATGAGTGTTAGAAGCCACCTAGATAGAACTTGAAATCAATCCAGGATGCAGCTCCTCAGAACAAAAGACCTTAATGAAACAGTTTCATTAGAATACGAATAAGAACTTACAGCCAAAACCAGAAACGGGATAACTTCCATTATGATCAATGTAGATTTGACTCCAATTGCACTGAAAAATCCAACAGACCCAAGAACAGAAAGCATGACAAGAATAACTCCCGAAAGACCAAGCAAAACCTGAAGAACATTAAATCAAAAAGTGAGTTGCCTGGGTTATAACTTCATATAGCATAGAAGTTCAATTGCAGTTGGAAATTGGTGCTCTTAACAAATCTATATTTTCTAGACACAGTATGGACACAAAATAAACAAGTATATGCATATCTCTTCATATTTGTGCTCTGTTCATACATGTGCAAGTGCCAGAGGAGGTCAATAAAAGAATTCACAACAACAAGCTCTATAAAGACCCAAAACAAGAAAATTTTAAATGAACAGCATTCATAGCATGTGCTCTACAAGCAAAACTAAACCACCACACAAAGTTAGACTATTGTTTACAATTTATAGTGGAATTAGGGCAGAAGATCACAACAACATACAATACTCATAGTAGGATTGGCACCAAAGCAGCTATTGACCCTTATACAGATGCATGGATTAGAATTTACACATACAAGCTTAATATATAAAGGACTATATCAATCAAGGGGAAAATTACGATACCTTAGATGAGAGGTAGAAAGTGGATAAATGAGGTGTGTCTCCCAATGTCACAGATATGTAAGCAAACATTACAAGGTAGCTAACCTGAGATGAAGTTGAATTAAAAGTGAGGAAATATAATCTAAATGATCAATTTTAAAAGAAAAAGGCAAAAGAAAAACTGGCTATAACTGCAAGAATTTGAATTATGTGGAAAGAACAACTTCACAGTGACTTACTACTATTGTTATAACATCAGCTGTGCTTTCTCTTTTCAGTTCTTCCTCAATAGAGCTCTCAGAAGAATATGAAAGAGTAAGATTGCGGGACTGAACCATTGGTAGCAGCTCCTCCTGTAATGCACATGACACTTTGAAGATTAGATTTTTTTTTTTTTTCCACATTTCTTCACTATCTGTCTCATACTTTTGCAGTTCCAATAAAAAAGAAGGTATCCTACTTCAAAATAACTCAAAAAACATGTGTAAACTTCACAATAACCATTAAGTAATAAGTACCATCTCTATGTAGACATGATAATTAAACACAATGCAAGATTTGAGCTCCAAAAGCAAAATATATCTGAAGACACTAAATTCATCAAATAATCAAAAAAGGAAAATATAAAATATTCACACACAACAAATTTACAGAAAACATGAATTTGGCTTGCCTTCACCAACTGAATGAAAGCTTTTTCCCAAGCCACTGCCTTAGAATTCTCATCACCCGCCTTGTCAATTGCATTATTAACTGGGTACGTTATAACAAATGCAGAGGCCTGAAAATATAAACAAAATTAAAAGCAAAGTATATGTGCTAAATTTATACAGGAAGGGAGGAAAAGTATTACCTCAGAATAATTGTTCCCAGCAAAACCCCCCAATGCAGTGCTTGGATCTAGTGGGGCCTTAAATGCACTCAAGCATGTCTCTGTTGATGTAAAATGCTGAAAACAGGAACATACAGAATCAAAACAAAAGTCAACATGCATCAGACACTATAACAAGAATTATAGTGCATGGCAGAAAACAACAAAATGTTTTAAAAAAGTCAAATGTGTAAACATAAGTTTCTATCCAACTAATCAAATCATGTCTTTAAAAATCAAGATAAATACAATATAGTAGTCAAGTGATACTTAGGTATTTAGTTGTATGTTATAACTTATAACACAATGAGCCTCAATATAGCCATGGGCACCACCAAGAAAAAACAGAAATTTTAAAAGATAAATACATGTAAACTGGAAAAAGAAACAGCCAGAACAGTGCAGAACAGTATGCAATGAAATTCAAGTGCTGACAGGAAACAAGGAAATCCCAAGGTTAGATGGAAGTTCCATGATAGCTTTAACTTGTTGTCTAGACATATGGTCATTATTTTCACTTTATGCATCCCTTATCCACGTGAAAGCAAGACAACTAAACTCATTTAGGCATCATAATGACAACCTCAGATCATTTTGACATTATTTCATGATAATAGCAAGCTAGATGCAAATTTAAACAATGAAAGAGATGGCTAAGGGGTAACAACAGGTATCAAGGAGAAAAGCAGGCCATAAAAAAAATATGCCATAGGAGCTGCACATACAAATAATTTGAACAGGAAAAGATTTATATACCTGAAAACAGTACTCAGCATGTGCAACTCCCCCATAGTAGTCAAAATTTTCTGGATCCATTTTGTAATACTAGGACAAAGGCAATTAAAAAAGCAAAGAGTCAACTCCCAGGAAGCAGGTTCCACAATTTGGAGCTATTAGCTTAATGTTAAGGCACATCAAGCATAGAAATCCAAATCATGATAGACTAAGAGAAACAGAGAATGCCATGAACTTAGAGACTTGTGTGTAGCCAACGTTTCTCCCTTGATTCTTTTTGTTTGTAGGTTATATGCCACACACTTTGGCATGAAGACTGTGCAATGCAATGTGTAGGAATACCTGCAGGACACTCTGAGTGGCACAATCCTGACCAAGAGGCTTCAAACAAATATCAGCAAGAGATACCAGTGAACCAGAATAATTTGCACGGATTCCGTCAACCTGTCCCAACAGTGCAATGAGCATACAAATTGTTATTTTCTTTATAGAAATAGATGTAAAGAAGTGGCAAAGAGAAAAGGCACATAATGGCCCAATTCAGTACTTTGATCATGCACTAATATAGTTATGGTTGGAAATTGAAATGCAGAATCAAGCACAAAAAGTTACCTTCCCTTGTATTTCAAAAAGCAACTTGATATTATCCTCTGTAATGATACTAGGTGGTCTCCCATGCTTTATTTCAGGCGAGGTTGCTAATATAAGCTGATAATAAAGATAATAAAAAATCATGTTAACAGATAATTATATCAGAATATCAAAAAATGCCATCAAGCTTGCACTAAATACCATTGTTCTACAGTTGTGACTTCCAGTCCTACAATAACCACTAAAACAACACCTCCAAGCTACTTGCAGTGATATTTTCACAATATAGAAAGCAATCAAAGGAACATATAATTAGACAAAGAAGGCTAGATAATGTTTTCTCTTTCTTTTCCTTAGGTAATCACGCAATGAAAAAACAACTATGATTATCTTTTCCCCCTTTTTTTAGCATCAAAGAGCTTAAGAAAAGAACCTGTTCAATTCTGTAGAAGGGCGCAAGGTGACTGTCAAAAAATTGTTTCTCTTCTGCTGCCTTACTCCCATGACCTACCCACAACTACAAATTTTGATCTATCAAGCCTTTTCTAATATTTAATAGAGCAGAGAATAAAATCAGGAAAAAAAAAAAAAGCAGGGAAATTGAAAAAGACATCCTGACCAGCTTCCAGAGATGTGACTTACCAAATGTATATAATAACTTGGCAAATGTTTTTCATCCAGTTCTTTTAATTGAGAGCAAGAACATTAACATGGACACTTTTACATGCTGCAGATTTCTTATTTTTAGATGTACAACTATTTACAGAGGTAAAACAAGGTGCAACCTCAATATAGAAGCACCAATGAAAGGAAGGGAAAACATAATTTTTCAAAGTTGTTTAGCAGATATTAACCCATCTTTGGGTCAAACCCAAAAAGAATATTAGCCCCCCCCCCCCCCCTTTTTTTTGGGCAAAAAGAATATTAACTTAAGATATGCAAAGGAGTTCACAAAAAACATGGAAATTTTTAAAAATATTGGAAAATGAGAAAAGGAAAACTGATAGGTTTGCTAACAAATGATTTGGTAATTAAACCTAAAAAAATAAAAAGGCAAGAATAACCAGAGGTTGCAATTCACAGGAGGAAATTAGGAAGAGATTATGAAAGCCTGCACGATGTCCATTCTATAAAGGTTGCAATTATCTGTCAATTCTTACATTAGCAAAACAATATATATAATAAATCACATATTAATTTCCAGAAAGTTGGTCACAAGTGAGTCAAAATATATATTTTTTCATACTCTTAAGAGTTTCTGTATGGATGATATATGATACCTTCTCTGGCCGAGTCTCCACCTTCAAACGAATAAGACCCAAAGATAGCACAATGACCACTGCCAATGATAATAATAGCACTATAGTGGGATGTCTAGCAACCCATATACCATATTTTCTGCATGGGGCATAAAAAAATTATTGAGAAAATTTTAAATACTCTGCCACTAAGTCTTGAAACTTGTGTTTTCTATTTATAATTTCATTTTACCAGGAAAAAAGAGAGCATATTATAGACATTGCATAATAACCTGTAAAATCTTGAAATATGTCCTTGAATTCCATGAAGTTCAATCCCATTTGTTGGTTGTGGAACCATCTCTCGTGCCTATTGTCCATGATGAAAGCACACATAAAACTCACTAAGTCAGACAGCATTCAGGTAAAGAATAGCTAAATAATGTATAATTTTGATTAAAATGCTACCATAAGTCATAATGTCCAAGAAGAAAAACAATATAGGACAAGTACCTTCATAGCATGGTTCTCATAATTTTCCAAATAAACAGAATTTGTTTCACCCGCAGCTGTGGACTCCAACAATGGCTCCTTGCCAGATGCAGCTCTCCTCCTTTCTATTTTCAAACTAAAAGTCGCCCATCCAATAACTCCACCAACCAATAGAATATACACAACAACTAATGAGAATTCAACACATTGTACCTGAAAGGATGAGCAGTGTCACCACACAAGCAAGAAGCATCAAAAGGAAATTCAACAGAAAATTTCAAACAAAAATTTTATCCATTAAAAAAGCATGACAAATACCATTTATACCTCTATACTGAAATAAAGTTCAACAGAAATGAAGAAAAGAAATCAATTTCTGTGAAATTTCATCAACCCAAACCTTAAAAACTCCAAAATTAATCAAGCAGCTATCCTCCCTATGTGGTGAAGGAGGTTCAGAACTGGAGCATATAGGCGATGAAGGGCAATCACCACAAGAACAACCCAGAGAAGTGTCACCACACGAATAAGTAGAAACATTCATTGGCTCCATTCCAGACAACTCAGGAGCACTAGGCTTAAAATTAATGGCATAAGGTGAACCAATAGATCCAGGAGGAGCTTGCTGACCAATAAATGCAAACCACTCTGAATATGAAAAAGTTTTTGCAAAAAAAAAAAAAAAAAGGATCAAACATTGGAAAAGTGAATTTATGAGTATAAATAAGTGTTATCATGACAAAGAAGACCTGCTGGCCCTTGGCAGCTAAACATTTCAACAGTCAATGCATTTAGGAATTTATTTCTGTATTTTAACCCAGAATGTCTAGCTCATCTATCTAGCCAATGACAAGCATGAATACTATGAACCATGATATAGAATGACAATGGTATTGCAGGAGACATAAGCCATCTTGAATGGCTTGTAATCAGAAATGTAATGTTATCAAATAGAGGATGTCATTTATTGTAGTCAGAATTTTAATGCAGGCTTTTTTGATTATCTTTTAATTCTTCATTCCCTCTTATTGTTAATGTGTTTAGATCTTAGTTTCTGGTATTGATAACAATAAGAGAGAATGAAGAATTAACAATATGAAGTTCCCTTTCTTCAATTAATTTCTCTCTGACCAAACAAGGCAGTGCTGTGTTTTTCCTAATCCTTCTCTCCACTGCTTCCAATCAAACAACTTCAGATTTTTTATTTTTACAGTCAGGTTAGGTATTCCAATGGCAAGGAACATACTAAGCTCATTGGAACTAGATACAATATGGCAAAAAATGCTCTCAAACTATGCAGGAATTTACCCATATGCAAGTTTAGTTATTACCTTTGAAATTTTTAGCTCCAGCACCAATAAATTCAATGGCCCTTGTATTCATGGTCCCAAACTTTACATCCTTGCAGGAGTTAAAAAGCTCTTCCCCAAAAGCATCAGTTACATAAAAGTCAATGCCATCAACAGTCAAATTGCCATTCAGCTGATGAGTGATAAGCACAAACAATAAATGCACATTTGATATAAAAACTTGGAAATCAAGGCAAAAAGTTGGAATTACCTTGATTTATCATTCAATACGACTGAGGGAAAGTATACAGATGTTTAACAGAAGGCCAAGCAGTCTTATCATAAGGCAAGTACTAAGGAGGATAATAAATGTCTAACCTCTGACACAGAAGTTACGTTTATAAATAAACTTTGATCTGGAGAGCAGGAAAGCTCGCAGAAAAGATTTAAGAAGTTCCTCAAGCATGCAGGACAGCCAACAAGGAAAGGTATTGCCTGCATTTTTGAAGATATTGCAGACAATCAGCAATAATAATACAAACAAATTTGATGTTATGATCCAAAAATTATTCTTTATGCCGCAATTAGATTTGGACTGCTTATTGGCTTGTTGTTCTATGTGAAGATAGTTATCTAAGAAAATGTACAACAATAAATCTTAGTAATTAAATTCAATTTGAACATTCAAAGAATACCATAACAAAAAGATAGTAATATTCACAGATCTTACCTGTTGAACCTGTGCCCGCAATGTGTCAAACTGTTTCTCCGTACAACAAACATTCCCACTTATTGCTGGACACAGGCTTTGGATTTTGGCAGAGAACAGCTCATCAGGCTGCAAAAAATAAATGCAAATATGTGATAACTTCCAGTTCAAGTAATTATGCATCAGTTACAATATTAGCACTGTGTTTTTTCCTTAGCATGAAGCTGCTAACCTTCACTGATGAAGAACCATAGGGGCAATTCAAAACCTTCCCATCACTGCGTTCTCCGCATATATCGTACATCGCACAATATTCTTGAGAATGCCTTTCACTGACCACAGACCACAGGGTAATTGATTGCTCAAAATAAAATAAAAGAAATACAATAATAGCTTAGATCCTAACTCTGCTGCTGACCAAAGAAAAACAAAAACATCAAACAATAAATGAATACATTCAATCCCAACAGTCTCCATAGATGCAAGTTAAGCCTCATGGCTGAAGCTGCCATACCCAGAATCAGAAATGGAACCAAATTGCGAATAAGTTTTCTCTGCATTCAGGATTGGCGTCCATAAAATCACCTGAGAGAAATTCAAGGAAAAAAAAAAAAATCAAACTCAATCTTACCGATCTCACATCATCATATCCAATCCAAAACTCTCAAAATACACAAATAAACTACTTATAGTTTGAACAGACAGAAGGGTCCCCCCTGCTGAGCAAAATACTTCAAACTAAATGACAATCTTTAAATTATCAACTTCAAACTCGGAACATTAACAGCTCAAAATTTCAAAAACAATACTGATAATCAAAATTCCGTTAAACCCACCAAGCAATCCCACCACCCTAAACATCCAGATAAAAATAAAAAAAAGCGAAGCATGGAGACAGAAGATTAACATTTCCTCACATAACATACCATGGAAAGTTAAACGTACAAAACTGAACAGAAAGAGCAAACGAAAAAAGAGTTCTTACCGAAAAAAGCGAAATAGCAGTAAAGAAACGGAAGATCAACTCCATTTTCCCCGATGAGAACTCCGGCGAGGCCACGGTGAAGTCGATAAAGGAGTGGTTGCTGATTAGTTGCAGAGAAGGTTGAGATTGTGGGGAACGCAAATTGCAGAAGCGTCAAAACACGAAAGAGGGGGGGGTAGCGATCCTGTGTGGGTTGCTGTAGAGGAAACCACCACGTGTCGTGTTTTTGTAATTAATGAGTAGTAATGAGAACCGGACACGCAACATTAATATTGGATTTCCTTTGCGGGATTTCGGTGACGTTAAGAAAATTCTTTCCTTTCAACGGCGGCCAACTCTAACCAACGACGGCCAACTAATGCGCGTTTCTTTTCGTCTTGACGTTGGGCTCGTA